AATATATTATTGGTAATTTAGAAAAGAAAGTTCTAGAAAAAGTGTTCTCTCCAATTATATATGTTTAACCTCTAGGAAACAATTATGATACTGAAAAGTGAGTAACAAGTAGAAATAGAAGATTCAACTCCTATATCTTATTAAGTTTCTTGGATGATAAAAAGGCTTTCTTGGACAAAAGCTGAGGTCTTCAAGCTTCTATTCCAGTTAGACAAAGTTCTTGAAAAGATTTTTTTATCTTGATCAGGCAAACTTTTTCATAATATGATACTGGCTCTAGTAGCATTAAACAAATCTATATATCAGTAGAAAGATAAGTTTCTCAAACATTCTTCTTATAATCACTTTCAGGAATGGTTAAGTTTCTCAAACATCATAAAGCTTAGAGAATATTTCAATCAGGCAAACCCCTTTCAAAAGGAAACTGTGAAATGGAACAAGAATCTTTTGGAGGACTTTGAATTGTATTTTCCTTTCTTCTTTTTTCTCAATATTAACTTTAACAATTCATCATTTTTCAGAATAATTAACAATGACAAACTGTTAACAATGATTCTGATTGACTTAGAGGCTTCATGTCAAGCTACTAGAAGAGTGTAATATTGTTTTCTAAATTTGACTTAGAGTATCTAGTTAAGACTTAGTTTTGTTTAGTCCAAACTAGCTTAGTGGACTTCTCATATTTTTTAAGTAATGTAGTCCTTTAACTAATAATATACAATGATAAGTTGGTCACTTTGTAAAAGTCTATAAACATAGTGATATTTTTCAATATTTTAATAAAGACATGCCATTGTAATATAATTATGGATTAAAAAAAAAAAAAACAAAAAAAAAACAATAAATCATTAAAATTTATTAATAATTTATCAAATAATTCATTAATTATTTAGTCAAAGTTTATTAACAATTTAATAAAAGTTTATCATAAAATTATTATTATTAATTTAATAAAAATTTGACATTAATTTATTAATAATTTGTCAAAAATTTATTAATAGTTTATTAATAATTTATTAATTATTTTTTAAAAATATTCATTAAAAATTAAACAACTATTTATCAAAACTATTTATTAAAAATTTAACAATTATTTATCAAAACTATTTATTAAAAATTTATCAACTATTTATTAAAAATTCATTAACTATTTATTAAAAATTCAACAATTGTTTATTTATTATTTAATAAAAATTTATAATACTTGTGAAAAAAACTATTCATATTTATAAATTATTTGATATTATTTAAATTATAATAATATAAATTACATATTATATATTATATTATAATTTTATTATTTATAATTTATAAATATAACTTCAATTCAAAAAAATTTGCCATAAATTTATCAATTTTTTTTTACTTTATTGATAATAAATAATTGATGAATTTTTAATGAATAGTTTTAATGAATAGTTTTGATAAATAGTTGTTAAATTTTTAATGAATAGTTTAATGAATAGTTTATGAATTATTAATAAACTATTAATAAATTTTTGACAAATTATTAATAAATTAATGTTGAATTTTATTGAATTGTTAATAAATAATTTTGTGACAAATTTTTATTGAATTGTTAATAAATTTTTACTGAATAGTTAATGAATTATTTGATGAATTGTTATTTATGTCGTTTTTTTGTCAATTGTAAAATGTTACATTTGTAACAGTATACCTAATAATATTTTTTCAACTAGTGCCTCTTGCAACAATATTTTGCAATATCAGTAACAATTAGTATACACTGGTTTTCCTAATCCACGAAAGAAAACTGGTTTGTTTTTTTCTTTCAAGAAAATTTGCCTTACAAATAACTTGTAATAAACCTGAATATTTCACTATGCAAAAAAAAATTATATATATACGTATATATTTTTGTGTGATTCAAAGGATTTGTAATAAATATAAAGAACATACTGTAATTCTTTTTTTTAATTTTTTTTAATTATATACGGTATATTATTAATTATAGGACGATTGCATTCTAAAAGTCATCGCGAAAAATAAAGAAATTATTTCAATCAAACGCGCCTCCCTTCAATTTCAAATAATCGCGTTTAAATTGTTCCGGATCTGGTACAACATTAAGGGCACGTTCATATATAACAGTGACTCTATCAGACTCATTACTTTTCATGAGGAACTTAATGTAATCAAGCCATAATTCTAAAAATAAAGTTTAATTTGTTATCTTGCTCAATAGTAAAGAATTCATTAAACTGGTAAATGTAACCAACCATCGGAAGCCTTGTTATATTGAAAAATTTGCGTATAAAGCCATTCAAAATGAACTTTAGTATCAGGTAAAATCATCGACGAGCTTATATATTTTTGTTCAATCTTTAAGCATGTTTTGTAAAATGTGAGTGAAGGTAATATCATATTAAGGAGGCTAAATCGAATATAACTTATTAAATTCTTATTTTCCAATTTAACGCATATATATAATTTTAAATGTACCTTTTATAAACTTTGCGAGCCTTTTCCAATCCTCCATTCTCATCAGCCCAATTTAGATATCGAGTAATGACCAAGTCCTTGACTTCCTCAGAATTATTGCCTTTATTGGCTTGTAAACTTAGCGGTATTGAAGCGACCCTTGAGATAGAGCTCTATTAATAAATTCAATAAAGATTATATTTCCAATATATAAACACCCATACATGTAAACAACGACGTACCATAATTGTGTTTTCTAATTCGTGATCTTTAAGCTCACCATTCTTCCACATTGTGAAAATCCATGAAATATAAGAATTCCATAGTATCACAGATTCGGGATTATGTTTTAACGCTATTTTATATATCTCATCAATTGATTCGTCTTGATGCTGACCCTCATATGATTTAACAATGTTAATACGTTTCAACCAAAGCTGCGGACTTTGTGGATAAATATCAATAGATTTTTGAATTATTTCTTGAACTTCTTCGAATTTTGATTCTTCATTGGATGAAACAATCCATTCTATCCAGTCGATATACATTTGTTCTGAAGCAAGATTTAACTTGGAAGCGGTATTGTATGACTTTGATAATAACTTTTGAAAATACATGCGCTATATAGAATATAATAAAATATAAATTTAAAAACATTTCATAATGACAGGAGAGAATAAGGGTTAGTAATTAACTCACAAGGTTCGGCTCAGAAACTTTAAAGAGGTATTTCCTAATAAACGTAGTGAACAAGTACCACATTTTTTCGCTTTCTAATTCCTGTACTTTATTTAGTAATGATACAAAAAACAAATGACTAAAAATACGTAATAAAACAAACCTTAACGCTTTGTTGAAATTCATTGACACAGTCCTTAATAGCGATGACAAATTCGGGACTATTTACATCTAAGAAATTCACATGTCTTTCCGCAAGATAAGCTCTAGCCTCAGCATTGCTACCAAATTCTTTGGCAATGCTATACAAAAGAAAAAAAAACCCCCCAAATAAATATTTAGAAAATATTTAATCGATGCAACACGGCCATTATATTATCAAACGCCCAAATAAAGAACCTATACAA